AAAGTGAGCTTGGATCTATTAGGGCAAGTGGAGTTTACCACTTCAATATATTCATTGAGTTCACGAGTTCGACTTCAGTTTCACGCAAACAGGAATGACATATTTGACAAGAATAATAACTGCAATCTACACAGATCATGCGAAGCATCTATGAATTAATGAAGTTATTAACGCCATTCAGTTTTGATGGTTGAAAATTTGTTTTTCCATTCTTTTCTCACAGTTCATCATCGAAATAAAAATTGGTAGCAGAATTAAAAATAATATTGATCTCTTTTGTGCATATATTCAATCATTTACACTAGTATTGCAACATAGTAAAACCTTGAATGTCATTTCTTGTATGTATTTCTTCACCTACAGATTAAATGGTTTTAGATCGAAATTTCTAGGTGATATTAGTTTATTTTTAATAAAAGATTTAGAAATATATGTTTTATCAGTCATTTACGTTATTTTAAATTATAACAATTTAGCCGACAAAGGTTGTATATTTTCCACAAATACGCAGAGAATCAAGTCACGACGGAGACAAGAAAACATTTTCTTATTTTGATTGTTTCTTCTAATCACTAACAGATGGTCAGTTGAATAAGTGCAATCGTTTGATAAAACAAAATACGTACCTTTCACTCAACTCCTTATCTACAAGACGTTGAGAGAATGGATCAAGACTTGTCCTTTGAGTTGCAGACAGAAAACTAGCCAGCAACACAAGAAATATATGGGCCAAACTCACCAAAGCCCATGTAGTTTGGTGAACACTGTTGGGACATGTAACTATTTTTAGTATGGGCCAACAAAATGGGAATATATAATCAAATTAAAATCATGGAAAGACAAATTTTAATCAATCATTTTTTATTTACTCTATAGTTAAACTTTAATTATTTTAGCTTCCAATAATTAAATCGATTATACTATTTATCTATACGTTCCAACCATGTGATATTAGCGATTGATCTGACACAACTTTGACTTCCAATAGTCCAGCGAGATCACCGATGACCCGGAACTACTATTAGGCTATTAGAGCATGATTATCGGCATATCTTAGGATATATCTTACTATCTTAGGTAATATTTGTAATTAATTTAAATGAAAATTAAGCGAAATCACGAAGGACGCTCTTAGCTAAGATGTTTTTTGACGCATCCTTTGGTGATACGTGGCGAGCTTGGAATGGCCATGAAAAGCGGTGAGGGAAAAACGGATTTCATCACTGTATCCTCGTCTCCTTCGTTCTCTCTCTCTCTCTCGAGAAAATAATGATGAGGTTCCTAAGGAGATCCATCGGCAGCCTATCAAAATCGAAACTAACTTCGTTTTCCTCTGCTTCTGCAATCCGAAAATCGGTTTGTCCTTTTTTCTTTAGCACTTTTTTTTCCCAGTAGCATGTCGTTTCTGTGTTATTAGGATTTCAGATTTTTTTTGCAAGAGAGGGAGATCAGATATTGATTCTTCTTCTACATAGTCATGAATCATGTTGTACTTTGTTAACAATAATAAACAAAATAAAGAAAGATAACAATTTTATTTTCTTCCAACAATCAAATTACACTTTGCTTTTGCTTTGATTTCTACAGTGACAAGGAAACACTTTTTTCTGAGGAATACTCAGTTGCTAGTTGAGAGAATTTGAGATCCGGTTTAAGGAAACTATGTTGTGGAGGTTGGGATCTTGTGAGTGTGTTGTGGTTACTGTGATGGATCTTGTGAGTTTAGCTCTTGAATTTCCAATTTTGTTACTGATTTTCCTGCACTGATTTGATCAAATTGGAATGTGGAGCGGTTCATACAGTTTCATAAGGCTTTTGTTATTTGAAATCGGCTTCTCTAGTCTCAGTTTGAGCCTTGGAGCTATGTCTTCTGCTTTGTGTAAACCTTTAGTTGCTGCTTGCTAGTGTGATTGCTTAGCTCTTCTCTTCCTCTGTATCAACTTATTATAGTCTAATTGGTTATGGAAGTAGCATATAGTTGATACGTTTCTGTTGTATTGCTGATTGCGATAAGAAAACAGAGTGATTAGTTTGCAAAGGTTCCTTTAACCCTAGTCTCTCTTGAGAATAAGGTTAATGGTGGAGTAAGTTATTTGAAATTAGCATTTGATATGTTTACTCTATTGCTTTGGTAAAACCTTAGTTTATACTTGTTGGAGTGATTGCTTGGCTCTTGTTCTGCTGTGTATCAACTACTACAGTAAAATTTGTTGTGCAAGTATCCATATAGTCTCCCATAAAAGCTTTTGTTATTTGAAATCGTCTTTCAAAGTTTCACTTTGTGCGCTGTTTACGCCTTAGTTGTGTGTTGTGTGTTATTTTTCCAGGTGAATTTCTTTTCCTTGGGCTGATGATAGACATGCAGCACCACCGCATGAGAGAGCTGCGCATGAGAAGGAAGAGAATGGAAGTTATAAAGAAAGAAGGAACGGTTTTGAAAGGTGAGAAAGCCAGAGCTTTAGAAGAAGTCAAAAGCTTGAAACAAGAAATCACGTCCCTTGCATTCAGATCATCAAGACTGCCACTGTCCCTGCCAAGCTTTGCAAGAGGGAGAGTACCAAGCAGTTCCACAAGAGATCACGTCCCTTAATTTTGTGGTTCTTGTTTCTTCTTGATTTTGAAGAAAGTCCTTTTTTTGTTTCTTGATTCTTAAGTTGTTCTTTCTAAATAAAGTGCTTGAAAATAAGCAACATTCACAAGTAATCAATATCTAAATTGTATATTTGTAAAAAAGAGAAGATAACATTGTTATCTAAGAGACAAAAAATAAACTAAGAACTAAAAATTAAGAACTACCAATAATCTACATTTTTAACTAAGTCCTTAACTAAAACTCTAAACTTAACTATAATAATAAAATAATCTAAGGATTAAAAATTGGGGACAACCAATAATCATGCCCTTAGCACATACAATCCTGGGAGAGGGTGAAAGAAAACCGCAACCAAACCGGTTAAACCGAATTCCAACTTAAACCATGCACATATTTAGATGAACAGACCACGAGATCAACCGTTAGATCTAAAGCATTCAATTCGACCTTCATTAAGACCGTGATTGTTATCAAACGCATTCAATTCCACTTCTAACAATTTACCCTTTAATCTTTTCATTAACATAACTTATTCACGTTGATTTTCTCACAAACCCATTCCAACCGTTAAAAATGCGTTAATATCAACTTTAATTATTAAACAAGGCAAGCTCCTTTAATTAACCCGTAGATTAAGCAAAAGAAACCCCGCCAGCACCACGTGCAGGGGTCCTAATTATTATTTTAACTAACACTAAGGGTCTGACTGGTCTAAACGCAGCGGTTGCGGTTGCAGCTGCGGGAGTTTGCGGATGTGGGTGGTTACGGTTTCTAGCGTTATTAGGCGATTTGTACGACTGGTACAGCGATTAGAAACTGTTGCATTTGCGGGACATTTATGACTGGTTGATTATGAGATACTGCAGCGGTTCAATAATAAATTACCAATATTAACATATTAATACATTATAAAATATCAAAATATAATATTCTGATAAAATAATAATTATTAATATAATATAATTAATAACAATATTAGTTTTATTTAATTATTTTTAAAAATTTAGATGAAAATATAATTTCTATAATTAATTAAAATAATATAATATACTATAATATAATATAAG